AATATAACAGAATCTGACGGAAAACTAAGAATTGTTTACCATTCGCCAAAGTACATGGTGTCTAACTGATTCAACCTGTTCACCTGGGACGAATACGAACACTTACCCTCTCTCTGACTGAATCTACCACAAGTGCTAACTCATAATAAATGCATGATGGCATCGTAACTGGTCTTTGCATTGTTTCTCTCTCATATTTCATGCTACAATGTCGATTTTCTATCTTTTGCTGAGTAGACGACATAAAATTATTTCAACGATGGTTAATCGAAATTATGCAAACTTCGACAGTGATTTACGGATAGCTTGAAAATAAGCAGAGTGTGGAAAAAGTAAAGACACATTCTTGACAGATTTTTCCATCAGAGATCTGACATGAACGCTGAGAGAACTTGTGTTATCATCGTCCTTTTCTCAATGTGTCTAACCTTGGAGACACAAGCGCAAAAGAATGGGTTCAGAGGAGGATCGAAGTCATACGAAATTCACGTTGAGGCAAACACAATGGGAACAAATCTACATTATAAATTGCCCGAGTCCAAGGTGAAGGCTGCTTCTAAAGAAGACTGGCAGGTGGATAATGATAACGCTGAGATGCTGGCCATGAACAGCCCTGTTTTGGCTACAGTCAATGTAAAACATCCCAAGTTTAGTATGAAAGGACAGTGGCCTGAGTATAAGACAAGCTTCAAGCTGCCCAAAGATGTAAGTGTGGCTTCGAAACGAGCGGACTTTTCGAAGCTTTTTAAAAGCAAAACGAAAGTACGAGAAACTGATCCTGATCAAAGTGACGAGGACTCTTCCAGGAATGCAAAAGCCTCGAGAAATCATCGAGGTGAGAAACAACCTACGGGTTCTGGGATAAGGTTAAATAATCTTGCAGGACAGTTGTTTTCTGGGAGAAAAGCAGGGAAGAAAAGGCCGCACAACAAAAGGCTGGACATGTCACAAATTACAAGGCTTCTCCTTCCAATCGCAGGAATGAAGAATGTTAACCTTAGCAACCCTCGCGTTAGCAGTGCCATGAAAGGGGTTATCAAGCACGCCCGGAAAGTGGTAGATGAGGCAAAAGCGGTGCTCAACGACGCCGCAAACTTTGTAACAAAGGTCCGAAAGCTTGTGAAAGTCACTAAAGATCACTCAAAAATACACAAGCAGCTCCACAGAGTTATTGCCATGGAAACGTCTTCTAAAAAGCAAAATGAAGACAACCTTAACTCTGTGACTCCTAATGTGGAGACCTCCTCTTTGTCATCTAAGGATCAAGGAACTGAAAGAGCGCGACTCAAAGTAGTGGAGGACGCCAACGGCAGACAAAATGAGTTGAACCACAAAGAGTCAAGTATGCAAAGAACTGTTGATGGGCAAAAGCACAATCAAAAAGAGAGAACACCAGGCAGACGAGAAAATAAAGCAAGAATTGGAACGAGTACCAAAGGTGTTGAGAAACGATCATCCTCAGATTTTATAAAAACAGCCGACCAAACAAAACTTGAAAGGAAATCTCGCGTGCATCGGAGAGGGCTGGCTGAGACACTGGAAAGCATCTTGTCAACAATTAACGACCTTCAAGGTCTTTCAGAACATTAGTAATGGCAGTTTTTCTTATTTAAAGCCTAAAATATACGAAGGTGTTCTGTCTTCACTTTCCTCCGGATAGCTAGTTGTGCTTCGACGGTGTGCACATTGTGCTCCTCCATTGTCCTCTCCCACCGCACACTTTCAAGGTTTGAAGCACTGCCATCGTGTAAATTTTCAGTAATACCCTCCGCTATGCTTGAAAAGGGCTCTTGATTAAACTTACGAAAATTAAGTTACACAAACTCTTCATTATATTCTTTCTGTTCTGGTAAACAGATACAAGATCTGGAGGTATCTAAATAAAATATTTACATTAGTTACTGTAAAGGAGACTGAAAACAAACAACAGCGTTTTTAGCAGGGAATAACCTAAGACGCACTACCATTTGGTAAAGACATACACAAATTGTAAGATTTTTGAAGGTTGGTAAATTTACAACAACACTTTAAAAAAAACCCAGTTTTGGGCTTTTATCATTGGTTATTGATAGTTCAGGTGCCCCATGATACTTCATAAAATATATGTAAACAAGTAATGAAGGGAAAGAAAAACTTTGCACAAACAGTAAAACAGTTTTTCAATAAAAAGTTGTATCTATATAACGTTTGAAAAAAAAACAAAAAACAAAAAGACATCCGAAACAATAATCAACAATATAATACTGCATTGACTGTATGTTCAGTACAAGTCTACTTTTAATGAGATCAATCTGGATCAGGGTGTTTGACACCCTTTTTATTAACAGCACCCCTCGATGAGCTGCCTAAAATAACTAGACTGGCAGTTAACTAAATACGAATTAGTTTTAATCAAGCCTTGACCAGTGCCAAGTATGCGAAAAATAATTGAAGTATTTAGACTTTATAGTAGTGGACTAGGAGCAGTCCCACCTTATCATTTAAGTCCGTTGAGCAAGTTAAAAAATTCAGGGAATGAAAATTTCAAATATATGCTAGCGCATTATGCAGAACTCTAGGAGTGAGGTGCCTCACTCTTTGTGCACCTCACTCTCAGGGTTCCATCTAGCACCCTAACATCAATTTATTTTTTCATTGATTTATTTCGACTTGCGTGACTGACTTTGTTGAAAACAGGGACAGCTTGTAGTCCATTCTAGTAGGGATATACTGTTAAGAGTTACTATAAAAATATCATATCAGTAGCTAACAAACATTCCAATAGCCGGTAAGCCAGTGCTATGATGAAGAATAATAGACAAAACATGTATTAAAAAGGTTCACTTTGTTATCTTACTGCTATGCAATGAATAGGTGATGCAGCAAAACAGACATAGGTGAACTGATAAGTTTTGCCTGGTGCCCAAAGGTGTCTTGCAAACACTTTCCCTCTTTTTGCTTTAATGTATGACTGTAGAACTAACTTAGTGGCTATTTTAGAGCTTGCAAATCAGACTATATGACCATCAATATGAATCAAGGATCTATTATGGACATTTGATTACTATTGCGCCTAATAGTATTTGAATTAAATGATTATGTTCAACTTTTAAATGTTTTACTACAGTTTCTAGATTATCTCAAAAACTAAAAGATGAAATTATTGCGACTAATTGAATAACTGTGTTTTTAAAGGCTACATTAATTTGAATGTCTTTCTTTTTTCTTTGCACCCCTTCTTCAGGATGACATGAAATCCTTCCCAGCCTATGGTGACATTCCAAAGGAAATGGCAAGAAAAGGAGGCAAAATAAATCAAGGATTGTGTTGTTTATGCTTTAATTAGTGCTAATTTCTTTGCCATGTTTGTAACCAAAAGGATACAAAACTAAAACTGATAGGGAACTGGTCACTAACATTTTCCTGGACTTAAAGCTGCCAATGTATTTTCTTATAGTAGTCAAATACACCTTAGGCTGCAAAAATTTCTTTGTGTGGTGATTAAGAAAACTTTACACAGTTCAATAACTCAAAGCATAAACTGGAAATTTACTATATAATGTGAATGACAGATTGTATGTAGTACTAATATAAAAATGTGAAGCTTGTCAACTAATGGCACATTATTAAAGCTTTCCTTCAACACCAAGAATAGCCAGTACAATTACTGCAATTATGATGGCTACTACAAAAACCAAAATGAGGCAGATCTTCTTGTTCTTCCACCACATTTCTCTGCGTAACCTTTTTGCTTGTCTGTGAAACACCTGAGACTGGAAAAATAAAATAACTAAATCAGAGGATGGGCCACTTTGCTGAGAGACAACAAATTAGGTATAGAATAAACATATGATCATTGTCAACAGAAAATCTCTCCAAATAGTAAAACTAATTTAACCTTTAACAGTCCTCCATGAGAGGCCAAATTTCTACTTACAATATCAAGCAGACATTAGTGACAAGAACAGAGAAAAATGTCAGTTAGGGAATTACTATTTAATCCAAAACCAAATTCTCCAAGCAAACATCATACGTGTAATTGTATGATTGAGAATAAGGAGAATGTCCAAAGAGATCTGGGAGCAAAATGGGTCAAGCACATATTAGTGCACACATAAGTGCTTGTAGGTAAAACCAACTTACACTATGATCCAGTTCCTCTGTCTTTCCCACAAGAACATCAATCTTCTCACCTCTTTCAAGTACTTTTTCTACAGCAAACAAATGAGGGCAGTTAAAGGATATAGTTAGAGTACATTTACTTCTTAAACAAGTGTCAGAAATAATCCAGAATTCCTGAGATTCACTTTGCTTTGCTGTGTGATTTGTTTAGAAGCCTTCCTCCAAATCTTTAACAATCAGATGTATATCTAAAACCAATGATGGCTTTCTTATTAATTTGCTCCTTTAATACTTTAGGCCTGATTGTCTTCTACCTTATTCATACTTGACTTTGTAGGTACTTAATTTTGCGAATATGGCGGGACAGTACTTTTTTGAGGTTTTATTTTTGCTATTTCAATAGGCAAATATGAAAACAGGGTAATAAATTTAGCAATTCAAGTATTCCCAACTTCCTTTTATTTTTTTAACTTTTCACTAGTAAACCCTATTAATGATTGGTGTATTTTTCAATGCATGTCCCATAGGCATTGTTGTTTTTACAAGTTAAACATTTTTTCCTTGATTTGAATTTATATATAGGTTTTAATTTTGTGTGTTTAAATTCTGCAACCACTTTTACTTTGAGTCATTTATTTCACAATTTTGTTACAATCACAAGAAAAGGAAAATTATGCACCTGTGAAATTAGGCATGTATACAGTGGAGGAATGATTTTTTCCTTACTGTAGACTAGGTACTGTAAATTCCTTGGCTTTGGTTTTGTTTTGGAACATTTGGAGAACATGCAGCCAGGGATGTAAAGAGCTAAGAAAGCCAAAAGCTAAAGACTGGAACAGCTGTACATGTATGAAAATTATAAGAACTCAGGAAGAAGGTGCAATCCTTACCTATATTTTGAGTCATGACATCTTTGACCTCATTAACTTCCTTCCGAACTTTAGCAATCTGGTCTGAGTCATCATATCCAGGATCAGAGTATAATGACTATAATAACAAAAACATTTCATATGTAACAACACAGAACTACCACCATTTTCAACAAAGAGAAAAATTTGTGGGGTATGTATGGGAGTTGCAGGATGTTTGAAAGAAAACTCTCATTTCTACTACTGTTTTGTTAATGACATCTTCAATAACAAAACACCTGAAGGTAACAATTTTTTGGTTAACTCTGGTCTGAATGCCAGCAAGCTGACTGCTGTTGTTTGTACATGTTAAATATGTTTCTGTTAAGTCTCCTCATGAATCGATGGCAAAACTCTGGAAGCAAACAGAACTACTTCATTTAAAAGAAAATGTGCCCCCTTTGACCAAATTCATAGGGTATATAAACTTTACGGATTGTTTGAAAATTTGGTCCAAAGACTCCCAGGGGGCGCAAAAGAGTGTAACAGCCTCCCCCTCCATTTGAAGTCCAAGGATTCTTTTACCGAATTTTAAAGGAAATTAAGGCCCTTTAAATTGTAACATAGCTAACATTTTTTAGATTGATTGTATACATTATTATTCTTTATAATACCATATAATTATAACTTTTGTAAAGTAAACATTACAATTAACTTACAGAACCCCTATTTATACCAGTGTCATTATAATGAAGGGATTATCCTATATAAATATCATTATTATTATTATCAATGATGGCATTCTTGATGTCTGCATTAACTCAGATCTTTCCTATTGTCTCACCATTTGACTAGCCAGTACTTGTCCAAAATCTCGTCTGAATTCATATGCATGAGCTGAAATTGCTCTTTGCTTCAGTGAACTGTTAACAAATCTTCTTTTTATCTGTAAATTGGTCAGACAAGAAAGAACAACACAAAACATGATTACTGGCAATTCAACAAAATATTAGAAATCCTTAAAAGCTGAGAATAAGTGTACCCTACACAACACCAAGTTATTGTACTCAAGTAAAAATCAAAGTGTCCGTGAAAGTGGTGAATATTTACCTCCCTGCCTTGCAACTTGGTAGATATCCACTACTATCCACCTACATCGATAAATAATTGTTTACTATTTTCCAGCTACTACATTTCTTGACAAGAACTCTTATCGAGAGGCATTGACAAAAGATTAGATTTGATCACCCTAATTACTAGCTCCCTGCCACAAGTTAAAATGTCTGTGAAATAGGTAGGTGACTCCAAAGGTTACCTCCTCTAGGAATGCATATGGCTGTCTCTTTCCAAAGTCCTCATCAGCCATACAAAGATAAACAAGACCATCATCAACTATGACATGAAAATGGTAGCTTGAAAACATAAAAAGAAACATGACATCATATCAATAAGGTTTATGAAAGGTGTTGACAGTCATGCTACCTTTAATTTTCAGATGCTTCTTGATAATGCTAGAACCTTTTCAAATGGCAATGAGAATCTTTTCAAATGTCAGCTGGTTTAGGCAGGTACAATGGAAGATGATCTCTTGTTGCTAGTAAAATTTTTTTGTGGTTTCTGCAAACAGAATTGGCCGCTACAGTCACCGCTGGGTGATGATGATGATGATGAAATAAAAAAAATTTCCCTCCCATCTACTTCCGCCTCACTGTACAGCTTAAAGGGAAACATTTTGCAAGGACCAAACAAGAAAACTCGTTTTCAACCGAATGAAGCAGGGTTATGTATTGTTATTACACGAAAATTTTTTAGGCGACTCGCTAATTTTACTGGCATTAAAAAACGAGGACATACTTGTGGGAAAGCTGATTGCGACATGTACATCTGACTACAAAAGCTCTTGGCTAACATTTGTAGTAGATTCGAAACAAGTATTACTTAACAAAAATACCGAGCTTGTTTTTAGAGTTCTCTTTAAAACTAAAACTTGGCCAATATATTTTCCTAGCTACATCCAGATTATGCGAGAATAGATATTCTCAGTTAAAACTTTGTATTCCCAACTAGCTTACCTTCCAG